CTGGAGTAGAATTTTGTGGATACCCTGGACTGCCAGAAAGATGAATAAGTGGGTCCTCAAGGCTGAACTATCTCTGAAGGCAAAAATGTAGAAAACTGAGGATGTCATACTTTGCCTGTGAAGGCAAGATTCATTGGAAAAGACAGTAATGCTGGGAAAAGCTGAAGGCAACAGGAAAAAAGGAAGACCAAACATGAGATGGACTGACTCCCTAAAGGAACCACAGCCTTGAGTTTACAAGAACTGAGCAGGGTTGTTGAGGACAGGGCATTTGGGAGGCCACTCATTCATAGGGCTGCCATAAGTTGGAACTGATTTGATGGCACATAACAGCAACATAAGGAGAAAGGTGGCCTTGGCAGGACCAGGCCACGGGGACAGATCTCCCGCCCCCCCAACACGCACTCCCCCATGCACACACACACACATGGCTTGTCTACCCACATGCATGGGTGCCTTGCCCACCCACACACATGGGTGCCCTACCCCCCTGCACACGGACCCCCCCACCCCCAACTGCTCTGTGATTTGGAAAAGTTTGGGGACCACTTGTCCTACTCCATGTCCTTAATCACAAATAGAACTTTAGAACCACATCTTTCAGGAAATGCAGGGAAGAAAGCTGCTTCACAGTGGGGTTTGCTAATCTAAATTTCTATTATGGGATTGATCATGACCTCACATGTGTTGTTCTGATCAGAACTCCACAATAATCCCTGAGTGCAGGACACACAAGAATGGGCTGAAGTTACAGGAAGACAAATTATGGATAAATAACAGGAAAAACTTCCTAACTGTTAGAGCAGGACGGCAATGGAACCCACGACCTCCAGAGGTGGTGAGTGCTCCAACACTGGAGCCAATCAAGAGAAATTTAGACAACCACCTGGCAGATATCCTTTGATTTGGTATTCCTGCACTGGGCAGGGGGTTGGACTCAATGGCCTTATAAGCCTCAACTTCGTTATTCTATGATTTTTCTTGTGATTCCTGCAGGTTGGTGCTGGATGACATTCTCAAGCTGCTGCTTCAGTTGACATTGTCCTGTTTTATGAGTTAGTCATGTTATGTAGTTTGACTGCAAAATGAGAGTGATACCTTTATTTAACACTACAAAAATGGTCACAGAATAATTAGCAAAACCTTTGTTTGAAATTTGGGATGGAGAATTCCAATTGTTCTACAAGAGATGGTGCTTGAGATTCCCACCCCACAGCTGACATTTGCAACCTAAGTCTGAACTCACCTTATGCAAGCAGACTGAGCAGGGACATCTGTCATGAATTTTTGGGACTAGCTACTCTTGCAAATGCGGTGTCTCTAGGTCATTGGGGGCCAGTGTTATACAGCCATTTAAGGTGCAGACTGATCGATTCATCGATTCATCAAAGAATATTCGTATTCGTTGATCCATTAAACTTGACGAATAACGGATCAAAATGAATCACGATTTTTTAAATTCATCCCCACTAGTTATTATATAGTTCAGATTCAAACAATGTTGCATAACACATAATTTTCAATGGACTTTTCTCATCCTTCCCCTCAGGGCCTCAAGTGGTTACTTCACCACCCAGGTTCCCTTCATCCTTCAGGTCTGAAACCAGCCATGGGGACTGTGCCAGTGACTCCCACAACAGGGATGGAGGGCCCATTTCCATCTCTGTTCCATTGATATCTTGAGCCACCTTGTTGAGGTCACCTTCTGAACCTCTGCCTGTCTCTGGGCCTCTGTTGTGAGGCTGACCATTGATGGTTGTTGTGGGTTTTTCAGGTTCTTTGGCCGTGTTCTGAAGGTTGTTCTTCCTAATGTTTTGCCAGTCTCTGTGGCCGGCATCTTCAGAGGACAGCACTCTGTGCTCTGTGCTGGCCATCGAGTTTGAAGCTTAGCCTCTTTCTCGGCTTCCTTTCTCGCCTTTTCTGTTTGCATCACTGGCTCCCATCCCTGAGGGAGCTTGTCTGGGACCGTGAGGAGAGGAGGCTTGGATTCCTGGGACCTCGCTGCCTCTTCCTCCTCTCTCCTGTCTCCCCATCAGGACTCATTTGAGTTTAGGGCCAGTTTTTGTACTCCCTCTCCCTGCTCCTCTCCTTCCATCTTCCTCTGTCTACCTCTCTCCTACCTTTTCTTCCCCTTTTCTTCCCTCTGCTTTGTCCCACTCCCTTCCAGAGCCCTCTTTTCTCGGGCTGCAGTTAGGAGGTGTTTATTTTGTGTTGATGGGATTTTCAGTCTTTAGCTTTCCCACCTCTGCCTCCACCGTGACTGTCACTGTCCGGAGACCTTTGGCTGTTATGGTAGGCTGGCACACTGATTTGTGTGTATGTGTGTTACATACACCATCTCCTTCACATAGTCTTTGTAGCAGATTATTAATTCTGACATGGTTTTACCTATTTCCTTCTCTTGAAATATTGGTAAATCATTTAACCAAATCTGTTTCATCACCATAGACCCAGACTGATTTGTATTTGGTTTGTTTTTATTTACTTCCTTTGTTTTGAGAACCTTGCAAAGCAGCTTTGCTTTGCCATTTTGCAACATTTATAATTGCTGAATAATGGATTAGCAAGACTCAGGCTCTGGTGCTTAAAATTAATATTATTTCATACATATATAGAAGAAACTTTTTTGTGGATTTTGACAGAAACAAGCTGGTTTTGTTCCCTGAATTTCAGAGTAATGCAGCAATCAGTTTTACCACTTTACCACTACTATTAATTGTATATTTTATTATTTAAATGAAGGTGGCTCTACCTTGGAAATAATACATTCCCTATGTATATTGATCAGGTAGTTGGTGCAGTTGGTGTTGTTCTCATTCTAGGGGACTGGAATGCTAAAGTAGGGAGTCAAGGGATAAAAGGAACAACAGGGAAGTTTGACCTTGGAGTTCAGAATGAAGCAGGGCAAAGGCTAATAGAGTTTTGTCAAGAGAACAAGCTGGTCATCACAAACACTCTTTTCCAACAACACAAGAGGCGACTCTATACATGGAAATCATCAGATGGGCAATATCGAAATCAGATTGATTATATTCTCTGCAGCCAAAGATGGAGAAGCTCTATACAGTCAGCAAAAACAAGACCTGGAGCTGACTGCGGCTCTGATCATCAGCTTATAGCAAAATTCAAGCTTAAACTGAAGAGAGTAGGAAAACCACTGGGCTAGTCAGGTATAATCTAAACCAAATCCCTTATGAATACACAGTGGAAGTAAAGAACAGATTTAAGGAACTCAATTTGGTGGACAGAGTGCCTGAAGAACTTTGGATAGAGGC